AGGCAATGACAGTTTGCTTTGTGTGTGGTTAAACTTGTTTAATGCATAAATTAAGCAATTCTTTTCATTCTCATTTGATTCATTACTACTATGATATTCCACTATGCTAGCACACTAGCAGGTTGGGTTTTTTTGACTCTACCCGATTTGTATTTACACTATACCCTTTCTTGTTATACACGTTAAATAAATAAAATTATATTGTAGTACACAATATCCGATGTTTTAATTTGGAATTGCATTATACAGCATCCTTTGAGTATACACAGTATGAATACATAATTTAGTAATACTTCTATAGAGAATTGACAAGTAGTATGGCTGGATCTGATTTGTCATGAGGCCACAATACACAAACTAGTAGAAACATGTGGGTTTGGCCAAGTAGGATATTCTGGTTTTCTTGTTTATAATTGAGCTTAATTTACATCCATTTGCTTTTGAGAATATGTGAAAATGCTTAAAGCACCTTGAGGGCTATATGTTTAATGAGACTGTTAACTAATGTCATTCTGAGAAATGGGTGGGAGTTGAGGCATCAGGATTTTCAGAAGCACCGGGACTCACTGCATTGGGGTTTTCAGCTATCAGCTGTGCACTAGGAGGCTGATAGTACTCTAAGATGTGTTCCTGGCACTGATGCCTAGAGACATTTGTGGTGTCTATTCAATGAGAAAGTTCCTTGAACCTTACCCTGACTTTTGCACCTGAACAGTGTTAAATCTGCTCTATTTTGGGGATGTCTGTTTTGCAGAAAATGAGAAAAACAGAAACTGATAATTGAAATTTTGTGCATGGCTATTGAAAATCATCAGTATCTGTTCTGTAGTAAGTGCATGTGCTACATACTAAGGATGAACTAAGCTAAAGCCCTGATCTTTAAGCTAAAGCACTTGGGATCCCACCTTGGCATTTCAGGCCTACAGATGTGTACAGCTATTATGCATGCAATATTTCACAGCCTTTCACAAAGAGTGATCTGAGCCTTCTCCCAGGACTTTTCCTGTCCTGTCCTTTTAATACAGTTAAATATGTTGGCATACAACTAAATAGATTTGTGCTTCTGGAGATAACCCTTTCTCAACATAATAATAGTATCAACCTGTGACTTTCTTGAAGACATAGGAGCTTAGAAGGGCTTGAATTCTTGGTGGGTTTTATAGTTAAAATGCCTTGTTGCTACTTCTGTCAGCTCAGAGAGGAGCAGTTCTAATAGCACTGTAATGTCAGGTCATAGGTCCCATAGCTGATGCACCCCATGGTACTGAGAGTACCGACATTTTTTCCACTCTGAAACATTCAGTGCTGTGTATGTTACAGAAAACTTTGGATTCTGTGCCACCAGACAATATTAGCATGTAGCAGAAGAAACTACAGCATCAACACAATCCAACCTCTCCTACGCACTCTAGCACTTTAGCTCCTGTCTCACAGGAACTGGTTCACTGTTTGAAAGGTAAACTAACTTGCTAAAAAAAGCTTTGAAGCCTTCAGTGAACATCTCCTTAGAGAAGTTATTCCCTCATTTAAACTCACAGAAGTCTTTTGCCATCCAGCAGCTAGCTGCCTATACAAGCTTTTAGAGAAATCCTGCAGGTCTCACTTTGCACACAAGCTCCCTCCCTCCTGTTATGCATAGGGCTTTGCAGTGGGACTAAGACCTGCATGTACATTTAGAGAGAAAGAAAAACCTGAATGGGTTTGGGGAAATTAGTTCAAATGGTGCCTAAACATTTGGGATTTTTAAGGTTGAGGGTAGGAAGTGCACAGGCTGAGGTCCTAATTCCCAATGAGACATTCACATGGTGTTCATAAATTCAGAGTCTTGTTTGGCAGAAAATAATATACAGGAACATGAAGGCACAAGCATACATATTTTATTACAGGATTCTTTAAAAATAGTTGCTGGTAAAACAGGATTTCCAGTTCAAACAAAGAATCTTCTCTTTCGTCAGCCTTTAGTTAATTTAGTCCCTCTAAATTTCATCAAATGGCAGTTTTACGCCCAGGAATTCATCTGGCAAGGGGGTCACCAAAAATCTGGGAGATTATCCAATTACAATTTAAAGACACATACGGCAAAGATGACTGACTGAAGATAGAAGTCTCTGAGGAAAAGAGCAGGAGAGTGTGAGGATGCTTGTGTGAGAGAGCTTTGCCTTGTCTTAGGAGTAATATGAGGAGAATTATACCTACTCTTAAATTGGTGGTGAGTGGAGTCAAGGTCCCTGGTTTTAGGTGCAGACCTGCTTTCCTTCCTTCCTTCTTTTCTTCCACTTCTCTCTTTTTTGCTATGTGCAGACCCCATGCCCATATGAAAAACTGACTTTGATTATTAATGTTTTTTTGTTTTAGATTTAAATGTGTCAACAAAAAAAGGGGGGCTCTTGACTTCTAGGCTCTGTTTGGGGTGTATGGGCAGAGAATAAATACTGCTGTTAATCCTGGGCTGAGTCATGGATCCAGGACTGGTGGATGGCTTCTCCTGGGAACAAAAGGGAGATTCCAGAGAGTCATGGCCTTGGAAATCCCACCCAGATCAGGATTATAAAGAGCTAACAGCTCCTGCTAGGCTTTTCTAGGTACTGGGAGTTGTCTGCAGAAGGAGGCTGTATTTTTATGCCTGTAAGAATTGCATGGTGATGCATTCACACCCCATGCCCACCAAAAGTACTGTGCTCACTGAGCTGTCACAGGAGCATGCCCAATTGATTCAGAAGCATTTGGTATTGAAGGGTGATCAAACCCATTAATTCTTCTTTATCACTAACAGCTCTTGCCATATTCACCTTTAGGCATGGTTGAACTGGCCTTTCTGCTTAACTTTTGCGGCCTTGGGTCTGGCCTTCTCCCACAGCCAGCATGGCTGTGAGGCAGTGGATTGCCTGGACACAAGCTGGCAGCTTCCAACACCAAATTTCCATGTCCTATCATGAGCTCCCTTACCAGTCCTATGTGTTGTATCAAAAACTACTGTCAGCCTCATTTTATGTTCCCAAGTCTCCTCAGCTTCAGTAGGTTCAACCTGAGGTCTTGTTTAGGGAAAGTTACACTACCCTGGACCCTCATTATTCACTCCTTTATCAACCAGGTTTCTACTATTTACAATGTTACACCATAAAATGGCCTTTTAAGACCACTTTAGGAGGTGTCTTTCCTCATCTGCTTTTTCCTGTCCTTCTCCTAGATACATTTTGGCACCCAAACTTTCCTTTCACTTTTCTTGCACAGACAGAAAAAAATGGGAAAGCTGGAAGATCTTTGCCTTCTGCATGGTTTAAAAACTCTCTCCCACTGGCTTAACTGGCTCTACATCTTTCCAGAGGGTAAAAATATCAGCGATTTCTATTTGTTGCTGGTGTCATTCTGTTTTTAGAGCCCAGTAGAGTCCTAGGGCACTGCTGGAGCCCCAGGGCTGCAGCAATGTATGTAGAAAGCATACAGGATTTGAGTCACAGCATTTGCAAAGCTGCTTTCCTTCAGCTGCACTGGTACAGCATCTTGCAGAGACTGCCCAAAAAAGCTCAGATTAAAATAAGATCCCCCCAAAACCTTTTACACTGGGTTATTTCAGCAGTCCAGCTTAGAGTGTGGTCCTATGAGCATGGAGGAAGAAGAAACGTGCCAAACGGTAGCAGACAGATGAAAGCAAGCAGCCAGAAGAGGGGGGGAGTCTGAAGACAAGGAGCCCCTTGGCCTGGCTTTGCTACCAAAGCCCCTCTGAGGCTTTGCATCTCTGGTGAGCTGTCTTCAGGTCTCTCCTTGCTGACATGAAGCACAAATAGATCATGAAGGAGTGGTAGGGGGGACATTTTGGAGTTCCCAGAGTATGCAGGAAGGCAGAGAAGCAACCAAGTGTTACGTTCGCTATCCATGTCTTCTGTGACAAGGGAGGGGGCAGTTCCCCATGGCTCTGCTTCCAAATCTATCAATGCCAGAGGCAGCCTGGAGGCAGGCAGGCTGTCCTAAGCAAGTGTGACTCACTGCTACACCACACAGGCGAATTATTTGGGGTGGGTGGGCAGTATTTATCACATTGTGGATGAGGATTTGGCTATGTTAAACAAGAACACAGGCTGTCTGGGCTGTTGGGTCAACCTTTACTATACACACAGAGGTGAATGACTGAAACTTACTGGAACAAGATGAATGTGGCAAGGGCAAAAGCACTACACACACAGAAGACGACAGGGCACTGCACCAGTGCTAAATAATTAAATTTATTGCAATAGATGCTGCACCAAAAGCTGAATGATTCTTAGACTTCATTCACAACCTGTCTAATAAGACCTATGATGAGTATTACAGTCTGGGACTGAGTGTTTAAAAGTGCTCCCTTCACATGTGCACTACTTAAAGGAACACTCAAGTGATAAATTTGTTTTCCAGTGCTTAAGGGAGATTGAGTGTTCCCCTGCTCACAAGAAGTCCCCAATCTTACTGCAGATGCAAACCAGACCCTGCTTTTCTGTCATTCTGAAACTAGGGAGGGATGAAATCTCAGTCTTGTAGCATGGAGCCTCTCTGAGTTAATAAAAAAGTGTTAACAATGAAGATCTGTCTTTCTCCAGGAAGGAAAAAACAATGAGGGGCAGGAGGAGAAAGATATACTGATGGATGAGATGCATTTTCTAAACTTTCAAAGGGAGACAGCTATACAACTCCCGCTAATCACACCAGGCTAAGTACCCAAGGCAGCCTTAAAGGCTGTAGCCTACATAGATTTAGACAAAAACAAAGTCAAATGCTATACTGATGACTTTTGCCCACGAAGAATCTTTTTATTTCTGTCAGTAATGGATGTTACCTAAATGTGAAAGGGAAACAGAATATTCTAATTTTCATGCAAATGGATTATCTTTTTTTTCAGATGAAAGGCACTGCATAAAAAGTAGACTGGCAGTGCTGTAAATATTCTGCCTGCAGTGTGTTTACTTACCATTAATTACTAACATCTAGGCTAGTTGTTATAAGGAAATACATGTACATTTTCAATTAAGCAATGTTTTTACGTTTTCAACTTCTGTTCTTCCAGTGCTATTGGAAACTTGAAAATTGCTGAAGTTGATCCAGATGGTCGTTTTGTAAAGATCCGGAACCATGCCCCTGAGAAAGATGAGAACATTGGGGGTTATCTCTTGAAGCAGGACATCAGAGGTCAACCAGTAGCTGTATTTAGGTTTCCCTCCGAGACCAGCATGGAGCCCAGTTCCACCATGACGGTGAGCGTGGGGAGTTTGAGTGCCTTTTCTCAGCTGACAGACTAGGGTACATTCTTAGCCTTATGGTATAGAATCAAACCTAAGTCTGTATTTTCAGAAAGGCTAACACAAATAATGATGAATTCAGAAGCTGCTGATGTTGATCATCAGTACAAGCCTGGCATTACAAGTGTGGCATTTCATGACTTGTCCTGTATTTCATGTTGCTTGGCAATGGGAAGCTATCCTGGAAAGTCCTTGTTTGACCCATTCCTTCTTCCAACCACTGTTCCCATAAAAAGCTTATCATACTGCCAGAATATCAAGTTGTGCCAGTGTTTGCCAATGATGGGTGTGAACCTTGGATCAGAAACCTACAAATAAGAGACCCTGAAAGGAAATGAGTTTATGTGTTGCTACTGAAGCAATTAATATGGTTTTGTGTATAGTCTGAGGTATCACTATAATAGGGTCTGAACTGAAAATAAAAAGAAAAGTGATGCTGCTTTCCAGACTGTGCTCACTTCCTGAAGACAGCTGTTATCCAGCAAAGCAAGCCATAAACCACTGTTCTGGCAATGCGGCTCTGGTCCTGGCTTTGCCTTGGGTGACTTTAGGCAAAATGATGAGACTCTGTGCCTTCGTTTCATATTCTGTAAAATGAAGATAATGATGTGCACTCCTTTGATGTTGTGCCAGAACCATACCTCAAAAATTCAGTACATGGGCTGCTGCTCTTCAGAAATTACTTCCCCTCCAGCTAGTTCAGATGTATCTTTTTGCCTGTTTGAATAAGAGTTAGAGAGGTAGGTAGGTAGGATCTAAGATGCAAAGAGTCAGATGTCTTCGTCATACTGCAGAAAAACTTTAAACAGACAACAACAAATACATGCATCTGATATCCATGGTAATGAAAAAGGCTTAAACATGTGAACTAAATGTGACCGAGGCTCAACCGTAGGTGTAGCCGAGGAACATCTGCTGGTGTCTGCACACAACCTTCAGCAATCTCTGGGATGTACCCACACTCAGAGCAGGCACAGCCTTTGCTGTACTGGGTAAAGATGCTTGCTGCTTTGTTGGCTGCATGGTACTTTGCAGATCTCCGCGGAAGTGGTTTCCCCTTAGTTGGCTTTTGTGCCACCCACCCCAAAGTTAGTCCTTTCTGAAGTGCTGAAGTCATTGACAAGGTTGCTGTTTCCATTATAATTAAAGGGCTCTTGAGTGAACAACTGACTAAGGTAGAAGGTCCATATCTTCTGTTTCAGCAGCATACACAAGCAGAAAATTTCTGCTTTTCTATTCATTTAAAAGGGTCGTATTGGTGCTGACAACTCATGCATGTACAATAGCATCTGTGTCAGGTAGCCAGCCAGGGAGGACTGCCAGGCCCCAGCAACCCAGGGGAGCAACAGATGAACCAAGGCAAAATGCTCAAGTTAGATGCCAGTGTAGATGCTTGGAATATGGCCTGAACCTTTTTTACCACCAGTGCTTCTTTCCGTTTCTGAGACGAAAATTGAGGCTTGTCAAAATAAAAGGAGGCAGAGACCATGTTCATCACCAAGCTCAGTACAGGTCAATGCAGCTCTGTATGAGCCCTCTTACAAGAAAGCTGGAAATGCAAGCTGGCAGGGGCTCAAAAGAGCTACAGTCAATTCTGTCTTCTGGTGTGTGTGTGTGAAAAAACCACAAAAGACACCTTAGCAGAGAGCTGTGTGGTGAGCACTTTTGGAAGATAGCATTTTATATTTTTTTCCCCTTAAAATTGAAAGAGAGTTGTTTTGGCTCCCAGGAAATGGTTGAAGCCATTTTCTCACAGATGGCAAATGCTAAACCCTTTAGGAACAGTGTTTGCAAAAGAGTGTTGTGGTTGTCTTATGTAAGAGAAATGTTTTCATAATGGGTCCTTTCACTACAGTGTTGGTGATAAAGGTCACAGATAATTGTGTTCAGTTTATAAAGCACAGTGTTGTTAAATCTTTTGTATAAAGATAAAAGTACATAAAATTTCTTGTCTCCAGTGGAGACAGCTTGTCCCTGAACAGAGGGAATCCAAAATCAAGCAGAGACTGGAATTTTAAAGCTGATATCACAGATCTCTTCCAATGCCCCTGGTAATTCAGAAAATAAAAGAAACTGCCTATTTTTAATCTTACTCTCAGCAAGCCAGACCAAAAAGCCCAGGATTTACTATCACACCTCGGCAAATGTGTCTTTGCTAATCTCTGTTAATCCACAGGAGATGTACTTGAAAATAATCACTATAACTAAGCTGCAAGTCTTGAAATACAGTTCTTTCAGCTTTGATTTCACAGGTCAAATAGTGACCAGTGTTACAGAAATCAAAAAGAAAAAGGAAACCTTCATGTTTTTATTAAGTTCTTATATAAATATCCAGGAGTCATTTTGTCTTTAATCTAATGGCTGCTTGATCTTTGCAGGTTTGGGCAGCAGATGGTACAGTGCTTCACAAATTTCCCTCGGATCTTCTTTGGAAGGACCTGAGGAGATTTAGGACAGGCCTTGACTGTGCTACCATTCTCTGTGAGCCTAGTGGCCAAGTGAGCAAAATCACTACATTTCCTTACCCAGACAGCTGTATCACTGGACTTCTTTCAGAGATTTAGGATCATGTTGTTAAAGTCCTTGTAGAATCAAGCACAAGCAATCTAGACATAGCAAAGCTGTGATCTCTCTCAGTTAATCTTGCTTCAGTGTGGATGTTAATTATTAGGAACTGAAGGACTGAAGAAAAACGCCACTTGTTGAATGAAAGGCTAACAACCTCACAGCAATTGAAGCAGGGGCTCCATAAGTGCCACAAGTGCCAACCCACTGTCCTTTTCCACTGTGTTTCAGCCATGAAAGATCCAGCTATGCCCAGGGCTATTCAGCCCATGGCTGCTCATTAGTAACTGTCATTGGCTTGACAACTGTGTTGAATATTTTTAGGCAAACTTGTGTTGACTTAGGGATGAAAGAGAGTCCAAGATAATTTTTTACCCTATAGTAGTCCAGTGGCAACTATGGTTTTTGGCCATTTTTATCTAGGCAAACTAGAACTACTGACAGTATGGAAAAGACCTGTGGTTTTCATAAACAGTGTAAGTTATACAGCTTCCCCAAGGCAGCATTATTTACCCCTTACAAACTGTTAAGTGAATGTTGACTTTTGGTCTCACCTTTTCACATTTACTCCTCTTCTAGCTCAGTTTGGCTATGCTTGCTATTACATCGGTACCAGGGAATCAGAGGCTGAAAGGGAACTTGAGATGTGATTACCTCTGCCAGGACTGCTTCTGGCTGTGGCTTGCCTAGGTAGTTCTGCAAGACTTTCAGTAATGGAGACTCCACTATGTCCCCAGGCAATCTGCTTTAGTGCCTCACTCTCTGTATGCTCAGAAAAGCTTTCCTAGTGCCTAAACTGAACTTTTTCTGCCTCAGGTTTAGTCCTTTCCTTCTTGTCGTATCCACTGCGGACATGGAGAACAGATTGCTTTTCCTTCCTTCACCAGCCTTTGGCATACGTGCAGAATTGTCATCTCCTCTTTTCTCTCTTTCTTTGTTTCATTTACTTAATCGAAGCAGTGGAATTTCAAGGCTCTTAGATGAGTCTACCCTAAATATATTTAAAGACTGGAAATGGATTTTGAAGACCAATGAACAAAAGCTGGAATTTGGTGGTTGCAATTAGTACTTATGTTTCTAATGATAAATAACTCTGAAATACATAGCAGTGCCTACCCTTTCAGCCCTTCCAGTTTGTTTATAACAAATAATTATCTTGATGAAAAGATGTAGAATATAAATAAGCAGTGATATATTGGTGGGATTTTTTTCAGGCTGTTGCTTGGTATGCTCCTCTCTATTGGACCACCAGGCAAGGATTGATGGCAACAGAGGAAAGTGAAGAACCTGAGAACATTGTTATACCGACTTTCTCTATAACAAAAGAGGAATGGGAAAATGAACAGGAATCTACAATAACTGATACAGAGTGGAACAGGGCTGACCCATGGCAAACTAGTAAAAAAAGACAAAGCTTCATCAAAAGGTATCTGATGTTTATTGTGTGTACCCTAATTGCAGCATTATGCCAGACTGGCTCTGTGAGTGAACAATTTTAAGTGAGCATCTTGGTAGACAATTCCTGAAAAGCTGGGGAATTTTAAAAATAGGAATTAACCTTAACCTTCAAACAGGAATCCAGTCCAAAACTCCTGAAAGGAGTGCATTCATTGTCAATCAAGGCTAAGTGGAAGGTAAAATTCTTCTTAAAATATGACTTTATTATTATATATTACCCTTTGAGTCCCAAGTTTTTGGCTGGTACCACATGGAGACCACCACTTGGAAAGCTTTCAGCCAAGAATTTTAAAGTTGGAGAACTGTTTGCCTTTGTCTTGAAAAGGATGGTCCTGAACTCAGTCTTCTCTCCTCCCACTGCACTCTGAACTGAGCTAGGGACTAATAACCATTGCTTTCTAAATTGCTTCAGAACTGTATTCTGGCCTACGTATCAAACTTAAAATTGGCAGCACTATGAAAAATTGTGTCCATCGGTCTAGCTGCTGCAGTGGTTTAGTTTGGGCACCCAGGTCTCAGTCAGGAACCCTTGCGCTGAGCCATTCAATGTTTTGAAATGAGGAACACAATATTGATGTTGTTTTCCAAGTCCCTCCCAGAATATTGGTTCCAGGGGCTTTTAAGCCAGGTTCACAACAGGAAAACATGTGTTTCAGAAATAAAAGATTGACCAATCTGGATATATTTTTCACAAAAAAAAAGTGGGTGAACCTTCTAGTGTTTGGGGTAATTGTTCTCTAAATTTCTTCTCCAGACTGTGGCTGGAGATATTCAGAAGACGAAGTTTCCAGCATAGGTTGAACTGGCTGTTCTTCACAAGCTTTGTATCAAAAATGGCTAAATCACTTTTGCTCAAACTCTCCAAAGAACCTAAGTCAGAAGCAGGGAGAAATGGCGAAAAAATTCCATGCAAAGAGTTCAAGGCTGGCAGAATTACAGCCAAAGGCAAATGGTAAATTATAATGCATATGTCAAAAAATATAGAAGTCACATTTCTTCCACTTACAGCTAAATGCAGAATGTGTCAAATATATGTGTGCTGTTTGTTAGGTATATCACATAAATGTAATGTATGTGTGAATTAAACATGGTAAACCTATGCAAAATACAATAATAAATATGCTAACGCAATACAGTAAATAATGCAGTAATAGATAAAACATACATGATTTTTATATCCTGTGCACATACGTGCATGTGCTAAATGTGTGAAATACATAAATTTAATCGAATTTCTGTTTACAGGGAAAAAAAGACCTTTGCATCCCTTTTCCCTGATCAGAGTGCCTGGTGCCAAAGTCCAAATGCTCCTACACACCCTCACTTTTCCCTGGCTAGACCATTAACCATGGGGAATGATGGCAGCAGCTTGTGCAGGCAGTCCCGGTGTCAGTTGTCAAGGCCTGACCCTGTGCCAGGTGAGTTCAACAGCCGATGTGGTATATGCTATAGGATGCATAGTGGCAACAGGGTGGACTTTCTGACCCAAATAGTTTAAGACTAAAAATACATGTATGTTACCAACTCTTACTTCTATAGCAGCAGTCTCCAAACTTATAATTGTGCACCCATTTCAGTAACAGCATATATACATTTATTATATACATTTACAACTGCAGTAATACATTAGGTACATTGTAAAACATACACACAAATAGAAATTTTAAAGAATGAGATAAAGATTTTTTTGCACCTATTTTAAAAGTATTTTTAAATTTAATTTTATTTGTTAATATTACAAAAATATTTTCTTCCCACACCCCAATGGATTGTCTTGCACTCCCCGTGGAAGCTCTATAGAGCTGCATGTGCCAGCAAGCTGTGAGGAGGCTATTGTTACTAATACTGATGCATTTAGGAAATTAAATAGGAATCAGTAAAAGACTCTTCTATTGGCTGTGAGTTGTTAATTAGGCAGTGGTGAGAAAGCCAGTGTGTAATTCGGGTACATCAAACCCAGAAAGCTGTGGACACACTGCAAAAAGTTCAGGAGAAGATGACAGGGTGAAAAAACATCTGAAGAGATTAAAAAGAGCTAAATGTGTGTTAGACAAGCAAGGTGATTGTCATGCAAGGGGGTTCAAGCATCACAGCAAGAGAGGAAACAGTCTTAGATCCAGGAAACAGAACTAGAAGGAATAGGACCAAGTGAAACACAGAAAGGCTTAGCTTGAATATCTAAATAAAAAGGAGCATTAATGATAAACATAGTACAGTCTTCCAGTTGTGCTCATTGCTTCACTTAATATTTTAAACCACTGGCAAGTTTTAAGTGCTCAGCTGCCATTAGTTTTGAAGGAACTAGGTATCCAGCTCCTGAAGACAGCTTTGAAACACTCATTCTTTCTTTTGTGAACATTTAAAACCAGACTAGTTAAATTTTTTATATACTCTAAGGAGATGACCCTGTGACTGGTGTAGATAGGTGGCTGCACAGCTGTCAGGAGTTTTTCTCCCATTTCTACGAGTGCTAGCCTAGGAAAACCTTTCACATTGACCCAGGAAAGCATTTATGCACCTGCTTAGCTTTATACACATACATAGTAATCCTACAACCAGCAAGTGCAGTCAGGAAGATCCTTCTCAACTTAAATCCAGACAAAGCAGATTAAAACCTGACAGAGCCAGCTGTAATAGATCTAATCTCATGGTTTGTTTCCTGCTCTGTCTTAATCACTGGTAGCATCCGCTACCAGGTATCTATTCTGTATAATCCTGATTTGTCTCATTTACTAAAACTTAGTTTGTCTCATTCTGTGTTGCTCTGGTCTTCTGCATGCTGGGGCCCCCATATCTGTTCTGCTAGTTTCCTGGACAGGGGAAAGCTGGGGACAGAATGGGTGCTGATGGCATCACATAGTTGTGTTCAGACGTGTTCAGACGTTGTGTTCAGAGCAAATACTACAGACAAATAGGAGCAGTCTACAGAGCACACCCCTTGATGCTGCAAACCTGGCATCCGCTCTGTACATATTTCAAGGGCGATCAACTTTGTCCCAGCTCGAGACTGGTGATGAAGGGGCACCTACCTCTACATGGCGTAGGTATGAAACTTCCCAGGCTGCTATGTAGCCCACTTATGCTCACCACTGGACTGCACAAGGCGGTATCTGTCTGAATACCTGCTTAGAGATAGAGTGTTTGAGGAATGTCTCCCAAGGACATCTTCTGGCCCAGTTTCATGCAAGAAGAAGCCAGCTTGTGCACTTGATAGTGGTCTGTGATGTGAACTTGAGCACAGACAGTGGGGGAAGTGGCATCTCCATGGGTATACTCCTTTTTGGACCCAAAGCACTATGGACACATGCAGGATGTCCCCCAGTACTTTCCCCAAGCCATAGGGAGTTTGCTGGTATGACATGGGTGACCTGCATGCATGGTTACATTCCCATCTTCTGTCACATCTCCACAGATGGATGTCTATGCTCTTGCCATGAGCTACATTTGGTTTCAAGATTTATTATTTTTCCTTGCAACTGTTGAGACTAGAAAGTTTCCAATAAAGCAATCAGTATGAAACCAAACCGTATCAGCTCCTGTGACATGTAATGCAGTCACATTGTTCCGGTACACAGGGATGCAGGCAGGGAGAGAGGGCCTGCATGCAGATTTATTTCCCGAGCGTGGGAACTCTGAAGACAGAACTCGAAGCAACAAGGTGGTCTGTCACACACTGCATATATCTAGGTTTTGTAGGTTTTCACATGCAACCTGCACACTTTCAGTCTCTTTTTCTCAGATCTTTGCAAAAGATAACTCAGCTCTATTTACTTACGGTTCATTTGCAGTTCTTTGCACTACTGAATCATGAAATTATTCCTCTTAATACTGCCAGGAAAGTTAATAATATCCAAGATCTCAGATTAAAAATTAAGTATGGGTCTTACCATTATTTTCCTCTGATAAATATTCACATGTCGTACATATTACTGCCAGATTTTTCCAGAAATTAATATAGAGATATAACCATCATTTTAATTTTATTACAACACAAAAATTACAAGTGCTTTAGTCAGATTTATGCAAGTATGCCACTAGACATTATTACTGATGGTGGTTGAATGATGATTTTCAAATATATGATGGAATAATGATTTTGAAATCTATGACTACTTTCTTTTTCCTTTTTTGATTTTTCTTTCCTTGCTTAAAAATTTTTGACTAGCAGCCTTATAACTGACATGAACAACTGGGTTCCACAGTCATAGGATTAAAGGCAATCTTGCTTAGGTCCTGGTCCAAGAAAGCTTCCTTATTCATTAAGGACTCATCGACATGTTCTTAAATGCTTCATAATATCAAAACTCATAGAAATCATTATTGTTAAATTGTTTTCCTCTGCAAGCACGTTTTTAATCACTATTGTCTTTAAGTATGGATAGTTATTTTCCTAATGCCATAACAGAGCACAGTTAGATCAATGCCTTTGAATTGAGCTAGTGATTCAAAGTATTTTTTCATTTCCCTTTTAGATACTTAATTGTGCTTTTCAAATCAGTTTAGTATATGGTCATATTTCAGTAGTACAAAGGCCCAGTCAAAACTGTAGAGATAGGCCTCACAGAGGATACTGTTTGATGGTATTTGCTTATTAGCTTGAAGTATTCAGTTTCTCGTACACCTGTTGTATCCTTTCTAGCTCCTAGCTTTCCTCTATAATAATGAAACATTATCTTTTCAATCTCCTTTTTGAGGGATGTTAATAGCAGCAGTCCACAATATTCCAGTAGAAAACAAAATGTGTTCAGTGGCATGATGGTGTTTTGAGAACTGTTTGCTTCTCCTCTCCTCATGCAGCTCAGCATTTTACTTTCATAGCTGCTGGAGAACAGGATTTTCTCTACCTGGTTCCAGTGACTCCTGTCACTTTACTTTTGAGTTGTTGCAGTTGAAAAGATGATGGTAGGGTGTGTGGTAGCTGTTCCTTTACCCATCCATATAAAATTTTAACTGGCACCTTACTGTTTG